AAAAAAAAGCTGCAACCTGTGATTATGACAGTGTTCTTTATATCTGTACACCATTCCAAGAACAATTCTCTCGAAAAACCGCACTCCATATCTAATCCGCTGACCAACACAACCTAAAACTTTACCTCTACTCAATCTATATCCTGTGAATCAGGCAAACTTTTCCAAGATGAACTGTAGGATTGAAAAATTCAAAACCTTCGGACTTCTCACACGCATTAAGTCCAAATGCGTGTGGCATAACTGCACATGTCTAAATTGGTAAGGGTTATATCGGCCAGTTTCAAACATTCGTAATATCTTTTCCGACATCCACTCAACCTGTGACTTCGCAAATTCAACTACCGATGAAGCAACATGACTAAGCATTACCAAGTTATACGTCATCAGCCCTGCCTCAGTGCTGAAACGTTTAGAAAGGCGTAAAGAACGTCTTAATTTTTATCAAGGTTAAACAGCAAAATTTCTGAAGGTATGCATTGGAATCAGACTTACTTATGCCAGAGCTGGTCAAGCAAGTGAGATATTTCAAGAATCCGCCCCGCAGTATCTATCACTATCATAACGTCACCACCATCTCTTACAGTACCTAACAATTTAGTGACCAATTGTTCATCACGCTGTTTTCTTCGAGGCTGGTTATATAAGGCATTATACGCATCTGTTATTAACAAATTTGGTCGCCCAATTCCTGAAAAATACGTGTAGTAGGTTAATAAAATACTAAGACAAATCACTGCGCGAATCGGGAAGGCAAATTAAAGTTCGTTTATATTTATTTTTCTTTGTAATACAAAAAATATTTCTTCAATTTCAAGACCCTTAACTGGAATAAATTCTAATCAAGAAGTAAAAAACCAGTATACGAAAGCTTTGAAAACAAATGCTTCGCCAAAGAACTATACTAAGCAGCTAGGAATTCATTACGGAATAAGGCTAAGCCTGCAGCAGAAAAGCATGAAAATTGGAAAAGCATCCAGTTTTCAATAAAGAATAAAACTAACCATCAAAAGTACATCCATTTAAATGACGCTCTTTTTTATGATTAAAGTCGACAGCATAGACGATTTCCTCGTCGCCCATTTTAGTTATTCTCCATATAGCCCCACCTATCATGTGTCCCGCAGGTAAAGGAGTTATTTGTAACCCGCCATCACCTTTTAAAAGAATCTAAATCACAAAGCCACTTATACTTAAGAAACACTCGACTTTCAAGTCTCCAAACTCCGCTTGAAATAAAAAAAAGTAAGCTTTTGGCGTTAAACCAAAAAGTCAAGCACTGTTGCAAACTTAATACGAAACACTATGGGAATAAGGACATTATATTCTGTCCAGTAACTAGACTTCCAAATCAAGTTACAAGCTTAAAAACCATACTATGAAGAAGCAAACACAATTAAAGAAGGATGA